ATATATATATATATTTTTAAAGGGCTGTAGCTTGTGGGTACAACCCTCAGTACCATACAATAATAAAAACAGTAATAATAATAAAGATAATAACTAATAATAATGGAAGTGATATCATCAGGGCTGTGGTTGTGGCTCAGAGGGGGAGCACTTGTTCAATATAGCCAAGGCCCTGGGTTCAATCTCCAGAAGTACAAAAAGAAAATAATAGCACACTCAGGGCCACAGTGAGGAGGACAGGCAGACCTTACAAGAAACTGTCAGTGTCTGCACCTCTTGGCAGCTACGCAAGGTGCTTTATTTTGTTTTGTTTCTGTTTTTCTTTACTGACAGACCCTTTCTTCCTAGTTCACCTCCCTCTGAAAGCTCCAGGGACAGAAGTGACTCGTCCCAGAGACCTTGCTCAGGGATGGGACATCTCTGCCCTCAACCAAGGCAGGTCGAGGAAATGCCTGACACTGCAGCCAAGAACGGCAGTACTGGCTGCAGCGTTTCACTCTGTAGCCCAGGCTGGGCTCAAACTGGCAGTGATCCTCCTGCCTGAACCTTCCAAGTGCTGGGATTATAGGCATGGGCCACCACACCTGGCTCCAACTCACTTTTATACTTACAATGTCAGAAGAGTTAGGCTGAGACCAAAAAAAAAAAAAAGCCCTGGAAACCACATCCCTGTCCATCTAATTCACTTAGGAGGCGGGGCTTACATCTACCTATAACTGACTGTTTGTGTTCTAAAATTATTCCTTTGCCCAGAATTGGAAGAATTTTCATATCTCCTTTTATGGAAGAAAAAACAAGGTAGAAGAAGGTATATTTTTCTGCTAGCAAAATTCATAATCAAGGAGTTAGAAAAATGATGTTCTAGGCTCGAACAGTGCGTGAGAGCTGAAAAAGTTCTATCTATCTGTCCTACGGGACTGAGATGAATGTTTTTCTTTCTTTCTTATTCTTTTCCAGTTATGGGGATTGAACCAAGGCCTTCACATTCTGCCACCTTCCTAACCCTTTGTTCATTTTTTATTTTGAGACAGGATCTGGTTAAATTGCCCAGGCTGCGCTCAAATGTGCGATTATCCTGCCTCAGCCACCCAGAATGCTAGGATTGCAGGTGTGTGCCACCATACCAAACTGGGTGAATGCTTTTCCCATGAGGACAGAGATGGTGTCTACACAATGGATGAGGAGAATACTCTAAAGGAATAAGGAGAGAAGCAGAGGCCAAGGAGAAATCTGACACCTTGACCTGGCCTCCTGAGACACCCCTCACCTCCTCAGTGAGAGATTCTTTAGTCCCATTATTAAGATCCCTGACCCATGGTGTCCTTGATCCAGATCCACGTTCCAGGGGCTCCTCCAGATACCTCCAGCGTGGCCTCCCCCTGACCTCCGGACTTGGAGGTCTATACTGTCTATATCATCTCTGCCTCCACTTAAAGGTCCCAGGGCACCTCAAATTGCACATCTGCTGGGCGTGGTGGCGCACACCTGTAATCCCAGTGCTTGGGAGGCTAAAACAGGAGGGTCACTGCGATTTCGAGGTCAGCCTGGGCTACACAGTGAGTTCAAGACAAGCCTGAACTACATAGCAAGACCCTGTCTCAAAAAAATCAAAAACTGGGCTGAGGACTTAGCTTAGTGGCAATATTCCTGCCTTGTAAGTGCAAGGTCCCGAGTTCAATCCCCAGTCCGGGGTAGGGGGGATCCCATATGCCCAGCTGCACTCCTGAAAGCCCAAACCTCTTCACAGCCTCCCCTCTTCAGGTGATGGCAGCTCCAACTCTGGAGCCACTCCCAACTCCTCTTCCTCACACTACTCATCCAATCAATTCACAAACCCTGTCACAAACCTTCAAGATATTGCTGAAGCCTCACCACCTACACCCTGCTCATGTTACCACCATCCATGGATTGGACTGGGCAATATCCCCTTGGTGGGTCTCCTGCCTTGTTCTCTCTTGTCCCTGTCAAAATCCATCCTCTGTACAGAAGCCTGAGAAATCTAGGTGAAGTATAAATCAGGCTAGGTCCCTCTTCTGCTCAAAACCCTCCATTGGCTCCCACGTCTCTCCAAGTAAAAGCCCACAGGGCCCACAGGACCTCCCAGACCCTCTTGCTGCCTGTCTGAATCATCTCCTCCTTACTCTTGTATTCCCAGCCACTCTTCGCTCCTTCTAGTTCCTGAAATAACCCAGCATTTCTGTCTCAGGGCCTTTGCACTTGCTGCTCCCTCTACCTGGAACATTCTTCCCCAAACTAGCCCCATGACTTCTCTCATCTCCTTGATCTCTGCTCAAATGGTCATCTTTTCCTAGAACTCTTCCCCCAGCACCATACACAATATGGCAATACCTCCCACCCCATCGTGGTATTCCTTACCTTCCTACATTTAACAGGCTGGAAAAGAGTACATCTTTACACACTTGTTTGCATACTATCCATCTCACCCAACTCCGCCAGGGCAGTGACTTGGTCTAATTTCCCACCGTGCCTCCAACGCCTAGCACTGTGCCTGACACACTGTCGAAGCTCCAAAGCACCTGCCGCTGTGAACCCACAAACGAACAAACCGAACAAATACCTGGCGATTGGCAGGAGGTGGGGCCTGCTGGACTGCAGCAGGTGCTGCTGAAGGTGTGTAGATGCTGTTGGTGGCCAGTGAGACCGTGGCCAGGGCAGGGGCACTGCCCTGGCACTGTTCCCGCTTGTGGGTCATGAAAGCTGGCAGTGAGTTGAACTGCTTCTTACACTTCCCACAGAGGAAGACATCCTCGTCATCTGGGAGCGACACCCGCAGCACGGCGAGGAGGGGCCAGAGAGGAAACAGTAACAAAACAAAGCGTGAGTCAAGGGAGATCACAGTGAAGAAAGGAGGAGACACCACATCTGGACCACAAATCTGTGACTTGCCACGCCTATGCCAAACATCAACCAACCCACACAGGCATGTACAGGAAGAGCTAGCCCTGTGCCGCCAGCCATCCAATAATTAGAAACCAGGAAGGCACAAAGTGGGTTTGCTCCTGAGTTGAGAAATTCAGAATCTTTTTTTGAGGCAAGATCTCACTACATAGTTCGTGCTGGCTTTGAATCTACTACATAGCTCAGGCTGGCCTCAAGCTCTCGGTGATCCTCCTGCCTCAGCCTCCCAAGTGCTGGAACTACTGGTGTACATCATCATGGCTGGCAAAAATCACAATCTTTATCCTGCCTGAAATGATTCCCCAGTCTCCAGATGACCCAGGGCATCACTGGTCCCCCTGTCCAGCTGCCCCTCCCAGACCTATTCATTCTAAAAGGCTCACCGCCTCCAGGAAGCCTTCCTAAAGCCACTAGCCACGGCTTCTTATTCTGCGCACACCTCTCGTATCAGTTTTCTCATCTACCAGAGTATGAGCCCCCTAAAGAAAGAAAAGGTGTCTTGTTTATCGCTGTAGCTATGATATCTTCGAGGAACCTAGAAAGTCTGCAATGGATGTTTTTTTGAGTGAATGAAAAGCTAATTGAGTGGTTAGCTAGTTAACACCCACCATTCATTATTACTAAGGGCATAACACAGCCATGCACTGTGTCAAACCCTTAAAACACACTGCAAACTGGGCATGTGGTGCACACGCTGTAGTCTCAGCACTTGGGAGGCTGAGAGGAGAGGGTCACTATAAGTTCAAGGCCAGCCTGGGCTACATAGTAAGTTCAAGGCCAGTCCAAACTACATGATGAGAACTTGTCTAAAATAAAAAAACAAAAACACACAATATAACAGGGGTAGAGCCTTGCCTAGCATAATCAAGGCCCTGGGTTCAATCCCCAGCAGTGCAAAAAAACAAAGAAACAAACAAAATATGTTGTAAAAGTCAGGCACGGCAGTCATGCTTATAATTCCAGATATTTTGGAGACTGAGGTGGGAGGATCTCTTGAGCTCATAAATTCGAGACCAGCCTGTCAAATATAGTGAGACCCTGTATTAAAGAAAAACAAAGGAAAGCCGGCATGGTGGTGCACGCTTGTAATCCCAGCACTGGGGAGGCTGAGGCAGGAGGTTCACTTCAAGTTTGAGGCCAGCCTGGGCTACCTAGTGAGTTTAAGGGTGGCCTGAACTTCATAGTGAGACCCTGTCTAAAAAAAAAAAAAGAAGAAGAAGAAGAAGAAATGATTTTTAGCAGAAACTGCTATTGAATCTGTGTGCAAGTGTGTGTGTGTGTGTGTGTGTGTGTGTGTGTGTGTGTGTGTTCCTGAGGACTGAAGCCTGGGCCTCACATAAGCTTAGCACATATTCTACCACTGAGCTATTTCTCCAGCCCTGATATTCAATTTTAACTGTATCCTTCTTATACAGTAATACAAACTTTCATGGGAAACATGGTTTCTTAGTTAAAGAATATTATGGTTTATATCTGTATGTCCCCAAGGGCCTCCTGCTCTCATAGGCAGGGCTTTTGAAAGGTTACTAAATCGTGGGATAATGCAGCTGACCTGCTCTTTGGAGGTGGGGTCTGGTTAGAAGTGGGTCACTGGGGTGTGGCCTGGAAGGGTCTATCTCCTTCCTTGGTTCCTCTCTTCTCTCTCTCTGCTTCCTGATCACCATGATGTGAGCAGCTTTTGCTCCACTAGGCCTCTTTGCCATGTGGTCTTGCCTTGGAGCCAGTGACTGAAACTGTGAGCCAAAATAAACCTCTCCTCCTTTAAACCATGAGTATCAGATATTTCCTGTTATGATAAGAAAGTGACAAAGACAAATATGCTTCCCAGCCTGCTTTGCAGCTTGGCATGTCATGTGGCTGAATTCTGACCAATAGGAGGGAGCAGAAGTGTACTGCAAATGCAACTTCCCTTAAAAGGCAAGGGGAAGACTTCCACTTCCTTCTTTCTTTCTTTCATGTTGGCTGGAAAGTAGAAATCAAAGTGGGAGCTAGGACAGCATCCCATACTGCATGTGAGGGCAGCAGAACCACACAAAGAAACCCCCACCCCCAACCCCAAATGGCCATTCAGGCCTTATGTATCAGAAAAATAAACTTTAATCCTGCAGAAACCATATGAAATTTCTGTTTCTTAGTTACAATAGCTAAAACCAAGTCCCAAGTTCTCTCATAAAGTTTCTATAAAGTAGGACAATCGTCCCCCCTTCACAGATGTAGAAACTGAGGTACAAGTTAACGTACTTACTCAGGGACACAAGGACAGGAACTATGGAAACAAGGATTCAAACCAGCTCTCTTTTGGGAAGGGGGTTGAGACAGGGTCTCACTATGTAGTTCAGGCTGGCCTTGAACTCACTGTGTAGTCTAGGCTGGCCTCAAACCTGGCAATCCTCCTGCCTCAGCCTCTTGAGTGCTAGGATTACAGGTGTGCACTACCACACTTGGCTCAAACCGGCTTTTTATCTCTCTATCCCTAGAGTGGTTCCTAAGTACCCAAGAATGTTTATAGAACAAATAAATGAACAGACAGACTCATAAAGGGACTTCCTGTAAATTGGAGAACTCATGCTTTCCCTGTTCTTTCCATAGATGAAGGCGAGGCCAAGAAATTATTTCTGGGGCAAAGATGCAGCACTGCCAAGCATTGAGGCTCCCATTTGTTCCCTATACGATACCAGCTCCCCACATTCACTAAGAAAGAGGGCATCCTCAGAGAAAAGCATGAGCCTGAAGGGCAGGCTGGCAGGCAGAGATGCGAGAGGACAACCTGGAAACCACAGTGGCAGCTCACGCCCATGCCCCAAGCAAGCCCCACTTGTTCCCCACATGAGGAGCTGCTCACCCTCCACTGCAGAGTGCACAGATACTCACCCAATGGCTGCATGGCGGGGGGTGCGTTGACACTCTGGCCTGTTGGATCAGGGACTGCTCCTTGGCCATCCAGCAATGACTGCACAGCCAGAACAGTCTGGTTGTCCATTCCTGTAAAAGGCAAAGCAGGGTCTGTGGAAGGCAGGCCCAACACTTACCCTGACATTACCCTCACAGGCCAGAACCACAAAATCACCAGGGCAAAGACAGCTGGCTGTGCCCTGCGATAGTTCTCTCCTACCTCACTATAATAGATCAGAAGATCTGAGGCTGGAAATATGGTCTCAAAAGAAAAATTATATTCCCCAGCCTCTCTTGCAGCTCAACATTCTGGCTGAGAGAAGGTAGGATAAGATGCTATAGATATGGCAAGGAAGACTTCTAAGGGCTGCCTGGCATGGGACCCTCTTCTCTGTCCCATCCCCCATTCTGCATCCTAGAACAAGAATATGGTGGTGGGAACTCTACCCATGATCCTGAACCATGAGGACAAACCAATCACAAGATAAAAAGTTGGAAAGAGCCAGGTGTGGTGATACGTGCCTATAATCCCAGCTAAAAGAAGACTACATGTTCAAGGCCACCTGGGCAATTTAGCAAGACTTGTTTCGAATTCTAAAGAAGAAGGGATAGGGATGAGTCCTAGCACTAAAGTGCCTGCCTAGTATTCACAAGGCCTTGGGTTAAACCCACAGGACCATGAATGAACGAATGGCTGGGAGTGTAGCTCAGTGGCAGAGTGTCCAGAGGCCCTAGGTTCTATCCCTAGCACCAAAAAAGAAAAGCTGGAAAGATAATGGGCCTGGGAGAAGCTGATATAAAACCACCCTCAAAGCCCTAGACTGACCACTCTGGCATTTCCTATGGAACAATTTCCAGCCCTTATGCCCCTGCTAGGTTGAGCTCCCCTCTTATTCAAGGCTCTCTCTAAGACAAGCCACACAGGCCCTCTGGAAATGACCCTGCCAATCTTACAGGTCTGTACTCAAGCATCCTTGCTTTCCTTGCCATCAATTATTCCTTCAGCATCCAGTATCTGGTGAGGATTCTCTACATCCTCTGTCTTCCCTACCCACTTTCCAGTTCTCCTGCACTGTGCTAGTGGGGCTTAAACCCTCACCTTCCACCTAAAACAGCCTAGCAGCATTATTATATTTATATCTAAATGTGCCCCCAAAGCCTCAGGCACTGGAGCAGAGGCTTTAGGGAGGTGACTGGATCATGGGGATGTGATATTTATCAGTGGATTAGGCCACCAATGAGTTTACAGCTCAATGTGAATTGGGAGGTGAAGCCTGGGTGGAGGAGGTGGGTCATGGGGGTGTGGCCTGAAAGGGTCTATCTCTCTTCTACCTCCCTTGACTTCTCTGTTTCCTGCTGCCCTGCCAGGAGCAGCCTCCTCTATGCCCCTCTGCCATGCTGTCCTGCCTTGGAGCCAGCTGACTATGGCCTAAAACCTCTACAAACTGTGAGCCAAAATAAACCTTTCCTCCTTAGAGCTGTAGGGCAATGATGGCATGAGTGCCACAGCAGGCTGTTTGTTATCATTGAAAGCTCTAAAAGGTTCGCCATCACTGGTATAAGGAAAGTAACTCACTGGACAAGCATTCAACACACCCTAAAACTTGCCCTTTACACACCACCTTTCAGGCAACTCCTTGACAGCCTCCTTTACTCTCTTCTTCTCCTGTCCACCTGCTAAGTATTATAAATGCAATGAGTTCCTTCTGTCTAGACTGTCCTTCCTCTCCCTCTTACCCTTTACCTGGGCAGTCTCACTCACCCCATTTCTAGTTACCTCCAATACTTGGGAGTTACAAACCTGGGGTTCATACTCTCTTGAACAGGCCTCTGTAAACCCTCTACCATTTTAATGCAAAACTGTGTTTTAGCATCTGGATGCAAAACTGTACATGGACTGCATATGAACAAGTTTCACAGAATTTTTATTCACAATTGTGAAAAATTGCAAACAGTTCAGAGAGTCTTCAATGAGAAAATGGTTAAACAAACTGTGGAACATCCAAACAGTGGGATACTCAACAATGAAAAGGTACAAACTATTGATAGACAACAAGTTGGATGAATTTCCAGGGAACTATAATGGGCAAAAGGAGTAAGTCCCGAAAGTTATATACGCTATGATTCAGTCTACATAATGTTCTTTTTTTTTTTGGTACCGAGGATTGAACTCTGGTCCTTGCGCTTGCGAGGCAGGCTACTGAACCACTGAGCTAAATCCCCGGGCCTACCTAATGTTCTTGAAGTGACAAAATTTTAGAAACAGAACAGATTAGTAGTGGTCAGGGGTGAGAGATGGGGGAGAGGGGAAGGAGCTGGTAGTGACATGCCCCAGTGTTGCAAAGATGTACCACTGGGTGATACGGGTTACATGGGATTATTGTATTTCTTTTTTTTTTTTTTTTTTTTTT